TTTGAATTAGTGTTTTTGTGTTCTTTGGGGAATTACCCAGTAGTGTGATTGCTGGATTGTAGGGTAGTTCTATTTTTAACTTTCTGAGGAAATTCCATACTGTTTTTCACAGGGGCTGTACCAATTTGCATTCCTACTAACAGTGCATAGGTGTTCCTTTTTTCCTACATCCTTCCTAACACCTATTGTTAAGTTTTTGAGTTTAGCCATTCTGATAGTTGTGAGGTGATATCTCATTGTATTTTTGATTTGTATTTCCCTGATGGTAAGTGATGCTAAGTATCTTTTCACCTGTCCCTAGACTATCTGTATGGCTTCCTTTTTTTTTTTTTTAATTTCAAGTTTTTATTTAAATTCCAGCTAGTTAACATACAGTGTAACATTAGTTTCGGTTATAGGATTCAGTGATTCATCACTTACATACAACACCTAGTGCTCATCACAAGTGCCTTCCTTAATACTGATCACCCATTTAACCCATCCCCCCAGCACCTTCCCTCCATTAACTCTGTTCTCTATAGTTAAGAGTGCTTCCTGGTTTGCCTCTCTTCCCACCACCCTGCCATGTTCATTTGTTTTGTTTATTAAATTCCACATGTGAGTGTAATCATATAGTATTTGCTTTTTCCGACTGACTTATTTCACTTTGAATACTTTCTAGCTCAATCCATGTTGTTGTAAATGGCAAGATTTCATTCTTTTTTTATGGCTGAGAAATATTCCATTGTATACAAATGTATATTGTATATATATGTATATTGTATATTGTGTATATATATATATATATATACTATATGTATATTGTATATATGTGTATATTGTGTGTGTGCATATATATATATACATATATATATATATATAAAATATATTATATATATATATGCCACATCTTATTTTGCCATTCATCAGTGGATGGATATTTGGGCTCTCCATAATTTGGTTATTGGTTTTTTTGGGGGGAGGAGGCTGGCTATTGTTGATAATGCTACAATAAATATGGCCTTTATGATAGTGAGATACGTTCCCTCTTTCCCTACTTGTTGAGGGTTTTTATCCAGAATGGATGTTGTACCTTTCATCAAATGCTTTTTCTGCAATTAAGAGGATCATATGGTTCATATGCTTCCTTTTATTAATGTGGTATATCATGTTGATTGATTTGTGAATATTCAACTGTATTTGCAGCACAGGAATAAATTCCACTCAATTGTAGTGGATGATTGTTTTAATGTACTGCTGGATTTGATTTGCTAGTATTTTCTTGAGAATTTTTGCAGCCATGTTCATCAGTGATAATGCCTATAGTTCTCTCTCTCTCTCTCCCTTTTTTTTTTTTTTTAAGATTTTACTTATTTATTTGACACAGAGAGAGAGAGAGCACAAGTAGGCAGAGCAGTAGGCAGAGGGAGAGGGAGAAGCAGGCTCCCTATTGAGCAGGGACTTGATCCCAGGACCCTGCTTGACCTGGGCCAAAGGCAGTCGCTTAACCAACTGAGCCACACAGATGCCCCTACAGTTCTCTTTTTTAGTGGAGTCTTTGTCTGGTTTTGGAATGGGAATAAGGCTGGCCTCATAGAATGAATTTGGAAGTTTTCCTTATATTTCTATTTTTTGAAATGGTTTGAGAAGGATAGGTATCAACTCTTCTTTAAATGTTTGGTCTAATTCCCCTGTGAAGCTATCTGGTTCTGAACTTTGGTTTTTTGAGAGATTTTTGATTACTGATTCAATTTCTTTGCTGGCTATCAGTCTGTTCAAGTTTTCTATTTCTTTCTGTTTCAGTTTTGGAAGTTTATATGTTTCTAGGAATTTATCCATTTCTTCCAGGTTATCTAATTTGTTGGCAGGAAATTTCCATAACATTTTCTTTCTCTCTTTTTTTTTTTTATTTTTTTTAAAGATTTTATTTATTAGAGAGAGAGAGCATGCAAGCAGGCAGAGAGGCAGACAGAGAGCGAGGGAGAGGGAGAAGCGTGTTCCCCAGTGAGCCGAGAGCTTGATGTGGGTGGACCTTGATCCCAGGGCCCTGGGATCATGACCTGACCTAAGGCAGACACTTAACTGACTGAGTCACCCAGATACCCCAGTTTTCTTGATACTTTCTTATAATTATTTGTACCTCTGTGGTGTTGGTTGTTATTTTTCCTCTCTCATTTGTGATTTTGTTTATTTGGGTACTTTCTCTTTTCTTATTGATTAGTCTAGCTAGGAGTTTATAAATTTTACTAATTTTTTTCAAAGAATCAGCTCTTGGTTTCATTGATCTCTTCTATGGTTTTTGTTTGTTTTTATATTATTTTTTTCTGCTTGAATCTTTATTATTTCCCTTCTGCTGGCTTTAGGCTTAGTTTGCTGTTCTTTTTCTAGCTCCTTGAGGTGTAAAGTTTGGTGGTTTATATGAGGTTTTTCTTCCTTCTTGAAGTAGGCCTGTATTGCCATATACTTCCCTCTTAGGACTGCTTTTGCTGCTTCCCAAAGGTTTTGAACTATCATGTTCCTGTTTTCATTTGTTTCCATGTATTTTTTAAAAAAAACTTCTTCTTTAATTTCCTAATTGACTCATTCATTCTTTAGCAGGATGTTCTTTAACCTCCATGTATTTGTGGTCTTTCCAAATTTTTTCTTGTGGTTGATTTCAAGTTTCATAGTGCTGTGGTCAGAAAAGATGCATGGTATGATCTTAATCTTTTTGTACTTGTTAAGACCTGATTTGTGACCTAGTACTTGACCTATTCTGGAGAATATCCCATGTGCACTTGAAAAGAATGTGTATTTTGCTGCTTTAGGAGACAGTGTTCCAAATATATCTGTTAAGCCTCTTTGGTCCGGTGTGTCATTCAAAGTCATTATTTCCTTGTTGACTGTCTGCTTAGATGATCTATCCATTGATGTAAGTAGGGTATTACATTCTCCTACTATTATTGCATTATTATCGATGAGTTACTTTATATTTGTTGTTTTATATAAGGAACAAATAATTTAAAGCATCATTTTATCTTTGTCTTGATCTGTACATGGTGTTTTCCCTGTAGGTTGTTTGTGTCCAAATTTTCTCTTTTTATAAGGCACCTGTCTTACTGGATTGGGAGCCACCCTACTCCATTATGAGCTCGTCTTAATGAATTATATATGCCATGACCTGCAGTGACCCTATTTCCAAATAAGGTTACATTCTGAGGTGCTAAGGGCTAGGAATTTAAGGTTTGAATTTGGTGGGGAGGACATCATTCATCCCCAAATAGATGGGAAGCTTGTGAAGGGTGAGAGCAGAGGGAGAGGGGACATGCAGAAGCTCATATCAGACCGTTACTCTTTCCTGGACTTCCTGTTTTCTGTCTTCAACTCCTCCCCCCTCATCTCTGTATAACTAAGATAGGGTTCCCCTCCTCTAATCTTTACAACTATTTTTTCCCTTGAGAAGTGGTAGGACTCTTTCCAAGTGCCTGTCTTTTAAAAATGGTTTGAAAGGTATGGTCGCTCCTCCACACTGGCCTCCTGAAATATTTTGAAGAAGTTTGATAACAGGGAATAGGGCTTAAGTTTCTGTTCTTATACTATGATACCCCTTTTTCTTCCCTTTTCCCAATGCTAAGTGTACAGTAAGAACTTAATCAAAACTCTTTTAGTTGAATTGAATTCAGATGATTCTTCTCTTTCCCTGCCTTTAGCAACTAAATGGAGATTCACGTGGTTCAACAAATCATCACACTTTATTACTTCTGGTAAACAAAATATTTTCCAACGAACAGCATTACATTAGAAGCAGTGGATACAGTGAGTAGAGATCGAATTAAAGTGCTGATTTCTCAGAAGTGTATGCTTTCAGGTCACTGAAGGTTATCTGGAAACAATTGGTCTTGGAAAGACAAAATTTTTGAAGAACTCTCTTGCCCTATGAGAGCGACTTAACATGAATGAAAAAAAAAAACACATTGCTCTAGTTGAATTGACAATTGGTATATCTCTATTGCAGAATTCTAATAACCTTCTTTTTCAAAAATTAAAAATTTACATACAGTAAAATTACCAGTGTTCTTCAAACTTGCTACTTTCTTGAAATTCACATAGTTATCCTAATGACACTTTCAAAGTCCTAAGTATGATAATTTTAGGAAGTGTCTTTTTAATTTTAACTTTATTTTTTAAAAGATTTTATTTTTAAGTAATCTCTGTACCCAACACAGGGCTTGAACTCACAACCCCAAGATTAAGAGTCATATGTTCCACCGAATGAGCCAGCCAGGGACTGGCTTCCTTTTTAAATGCCTTCTTTTAAAATAGTCATCTTTGGGGGCACCTGGGTGGCTCAGTCAGTTAAACATCTGACTCTTGATTTCCGTTCAGGTCTTGATCTCAGAGTCATGAGTTCTGGTTTCCCAGCATGGAGGATATTTTAAAAAATAGTCATTTTTGAATTTTTTTTTTTTTTTATGATTCAGGGTTTTATTTGTGTCTGTTGATTGTCTCAAGCTACTTGACATAATGGTGGATATATGATGAGTAGGGCAAGAGTGATAGAGAGTGGAAAAATGGCTCGCCAGTTATGTTCATTCTCAGGCCCTTGAAAGCATGCAAGAGAGAACCAGCAATTAGCCATCTCTCAAAAGCTAAATGAACACACACTGGATGGAACCAAACAACAACCAAATCATTATGTCTTTGCTGACCACTGTGGTGTTTAATTAGCTCTATTTTATGACTTTTCTATGCTTAGCTCTTTCTCCTTACACAAGGTGTAGCAAATCACTTCCTTGTTAATAATGCTTGTGAGGATCTTATCTTGGCTGTGTCTGTGTTACAATCAATGGTCCAAATCATCAAAGTCACTGACAGCACTTGCATGCACTAGCTTACCACCTTCTTTGTCGCCCTGTTAACTGCTCAAGTAAGGACCTCAGACTGCCAATGGCAGGACTCACATTCATGAGTTATTTGTCTTTTATATTGCCTCTGCTATCTTTTCTAAAGCCTAATTTTTTTTTGTCTGGAAATCAGAAGACCTTGATCCAATAAAATATTAGCTTATAATTTACAAATAATTATTTCAACAGATTTAAACATATTTTTTTCTTCATATACCTAAGCCAAAGTCATTTACTCTGCACAAAACTTAAGCATGTAACATCACCACTTTATCTAAAGATAGGAAAACTTTTAAAATTTCTTCATCTGGGGAGCTACCCGGCCCAAGGTTCTGACATTCATGGGAGGGAAAAATCAGTTCAGGAGCATTCTGAAGTCAGTATTCATCATGAAATGGGTATTCAGGATGATCACACCACCTGTCAAAACAATTCCCGGAAGGGAAAAAGTTCACTGCAAGCATTGCACAGTTGTATGTGTTACTAGCCTCCTTCGACAATTTCACTGACCCCTCCCTCTCTCCCTTATTCATTTCCTCTCTGTTCCTCTGTTTTCCCTCAAGCCAGCATCTTTTACTGAAACCCTGGGTAAGTACATGTGCATGTGTGTGTGTGTGTGTGTGTGTGTGCGCGTGTGTGTGTGTTGGAAGGCTGGCTGCCTCCCCCTCAACACTTTGCTCAGAAAAAGAGCACAGGAGATGAGTAATGCCTGCCTATAGTTTTTCATGCATCTTCTCAATTCCTTCTTCTCCTCTGCTGTTTGGACACAGGCTGCCTTCCATGTTAAATATCCACATAAACATTTCTCTTTAAATTTCTATGACCCATCAGTACCACTCTCTTCTCAGAGTTATTACCTGCCCTTCTCACTGGACCTCCTGAGAACTGAAAATTTGAGACCTAGAAAGGTGATCAGTGAAGTAAGTTTCCACAGTAGTGATGATGATAATGAACCTATCCCTTAAACAACAGTGATGGAACAGTCAATAAAAAAGGACTGGCGTGTATTGTGCCTGTCATGGACCATGTCTAAGATTCAGTTCTCTGCAAGTACATGAGCTTTAAGTTAAAATATAAAATACATAAAAGCTCTTCAATGTCAATGATCAACTGGATGAAACACAGAGAAGAATCATGGCCTAGCATCCCTAAATGGTTCAGTTTTTTGATCAGTGTGGCCTACTGTTTGTTTCTTCTTGCTGATCTTTCTAGTTATTTCATGAGTTATTTTCCCAGTGTTGTGGGAATTAGGTATTAGATATGTCAAATGTCAAACTAAATAATGTCACCAACTAACTGTAAAAATACAACAACAACAGGGGTGCCTGCGTGGCTCAGTGGGTTAAGCCTCTGCCTTTGGCTCAGGTCATGATCCCAGGTTCCCAGGATCGAGCCCCGTATGGGGCTCTCTGCTGAGGGAGCCTGCTTCCCCCTACCCCCCCCATCCCACCGCCTGCCTGTCTGCCTACTTGTGATCTCTCTCTCTGTCAAATAAAAATATAAAATCTTAAAAACAACAACAACAACAACAACAACAACAGTATATTGGTGGATTGGCTATCTCTTACTATCTCTTAATTTAATGATATTTATTCAATAGAAATAATTCATCTTCAAGAGCTATTAATTAACTAATAAGTATTTGGTTTGGTCTGTGTTTGTGTTTACCTTTTTGTTCCCAAGGCTAGGTGGTACCTTTTGATGCCAAATAATGTTTTTCCTTGGCAAATTCACATTAGGAGGCTGTTTTATTAATTCAGAAATTGGTTCAGAAATTTGATATTAGCATAGTCAGTATACTTTCTGACTCATGAGAAATAGGGGACCAGTAAGATTAGTGTTCAAACTGTATGAACCACCCTAATGAGCATTTTCCAAATGCTCACTTAGAGAGATTACAAACAGATTACTATCCAGGTGATTCCAAGAACTGGAAATAGTAATGAAAAAAAGAAAAAAATGTGTATACATACATATGTATATGATAATCATATCTGTATGAACTGTAGTCTTTTGTTATTTTAAAGGCCCTGTACTATTTAGAGAATAAAGGGCTACTTCAGTTGATTAGCTGAATTTAGCAACATTTTGAGGGAGTGTAAGGAGTTTTGCTTGTGGGAAGTCCGCTAATAGGTGGGGTTAGAAGCTACACATCTTACAGGCAAGCATTTGCTTAAAACCTTAGGTTCTTATCTTCTAATGTGGTACTCTTTCTACTATGCTCCCATGTCTCTTTTTTGTTGATAATTTTGCTCTAAATTGTGCATCACTTTGATTTTTAGGAAAAATTAGATAGGTTCTATATTTGTATTAATATATATATATATATACTATGACTTAATTCTCATCAAGTGATTCAGCCTGTCATTCCCTAACATAAGTCATGGGATGTCATAAATGTCAGAAATCTTTTAAATAAACCTTGTACCTTGTAGGAACTTCCTAGAATAAATGTAATTGACCTGGACCTGTTTAATATTCAGAACATGCTGCCCACTGGCCTTTATCCTTGTGATTTCTATGGACCTAGGATAATCCAGTACCACTGGGCAGTACTTGATGAATGGTCCCTCCATACTCACATGAGCATCTCCACGAAGCGGACATTTTTATTCAAGGCTTCAATGTCCTTCATTTCTTCTTCAGTGAGAGAAAAGTCAAAGATCTGAAATAACAGAAGTAGAAGACATTATTGAAGGTAGAGAGTGGGTCAAGCCTGGGATCAGGGAATGGGGCCAACAGCAGAAGCCCTTCAAAAATTTATAAGCATCCTTTTTTTTTCTTTTTAATGAACATGTTTAAAAGAATTATTCACCATGACCAAGTGAGATTTACCCCTGGGCTGCAAGGGTAGTTCACATATTCACAAATCAATCAGCATGATATACCATATTAATAAAACAAAAGATAAGAACCATATGATCCTTTTGATAGAAGCAGAAAAAGCATTTGACAAAGTATAGCATCCATTCCTAAAAAAACCCCTCAACAAAGTAGGGATAGAGGGAACATACAACTCAATATCATAAAGGCTATATACAAAAACCCCACAGTTAAAATCATCCTCAATGGGGAAAAACTGAGAGCTTTTCCTCTACAGTTAGGAACAAAGACAGGGATGTCCACTCTCATCACTATTATTTAAAATAGTAGTGGAAGTCCTAGCCTCAGCAATCAGATAACAAAAAGGAATAAAAAGACACCCAAACTGTCAAGGAAGATATCAAACTTTCACTATTCACAGACAATATGATACTCTGTGTAGAATACCCAAAAGACTCCACCAAAATATTGCTAGAACTGGTACACGAATTCAGCAGTTGCAGGCTACAAAATCAATGTTCAGAAATCTGTTAGGTTTCTTTTTTCTTTTTACTTTATTTTTAAGATTTTATTTAAAAGAGAGAGTGTGTTAGTGGGGGAAGAGCAGAGGGAGAGGGATAAGCAGACTGCGCTAAGTGAGGAGCCCAATGCATGGCTCTATCTCAGAACCCTGAGATCACGACCTGAGCCAAAACCAAGAGTTGGCCATTTAACCGACTGAGCCATCCAAGCACCCCAGAAATCTATTGCAGTATTATACACCAATAATGAAGCAGCAGAAAGAGAAATCAAGGAATCAATCCCATTTACAATTGCATCAAAAACCATACCTAGGAATAAACCTAACCAAACAAGGAAAAGAACTGTATTCTGAAAACTAGAGAACACTTAGAAAAGAAGTTGAAGATGACACAAAGAAATGGAAGAACATTCTGTGTTCATGAATCGGAAAAAGTAATATTATTAAAATGTTAAATCCACCCAAAGCAATTGATACATTCAATGCAATCCCTATTAATATACAATTTTTCACAGAGCTGGAACAAAAAATACTTAAATTTGTACAGAACCACAAAAGACCCCATATTTAAAAAAAAAAAAAAAAGACCCCAAATAGCCAAAGCAGTCTTGAAAAAGAAAAACAAAGCTAGGAACATCATAATTTGGGACTTCAAATATATTACAAGGCTGTAGTAATCAAGACAGTATGGTACTGGCATAAAAATACATGCATAAATCAATGAAACAGAATAGAAAACACAGAAATGAACCCACAACTATATGGTCAACTAATCTTCAACAAAGCGGGAAGGAATATCCAATGGAAAAAGAGCATCTCTTTAACAAATGGTGTCTTGCTGGACAACTTTCTTACACCATACACAAAACAAATTCAAAATGGATGAAATACCTAAGTGTGAGACAGGAAACCATCAAAATCTTAGAACACAGTCAGTAACTTTTCTGACATTGGCCATAGCAACTTCTTATGAAACATGTTGCCAGAGGCAAGGGAAACAAAAGCAAAAATGAACTATTAGACTTTATCAGGATAAAAAGCTTCTGCACATTGAAGAAAACAATCAATAAAACGAAAAGGCAGCCTATGAAATGGAGGAAGATATTTGCAAATGACATATATGATAGAGGGTTAGTATCCAAAATATATAAAGGCCTTGACACCTAAAAAACAAATAATCCAGTTAAAAAATGGGCAGAAGACATGAATGACATTTTTCCAAAGAAGACATACAGATGGCCAACAGACACATGAAAAGATGCCCAACATCATTCTATCATCAGGGAAATACAAATAAAAACCATGATGAGATTCCACTTCATATCTGTCAGAATGACTAAAATTAACAACACAGGAAACAACAGGTGTTGGCAAGAATATGGAGAAAGGGAAACCTTCTTACACTGTTTGTGGGAGTGCAAGCTGGTAGTAAAGCCACTCAACACAGCCATGGAAAACGGTATGGAGTTTCCTCAAAAAGTTAAAAATAGAATTACTCTATGATCCAGCAATTACACTCTTAGATATTTACCTAAAGGATACAAAAATAGTGATTTGAAGGGATACATGCACACAGATGTTTATAGCAGGATTATCAACAATAGCCAAATTATGGAAGGAGCACATATGTCCACCAACTGATGAATGGAAAAAGAAGATGTGATACATATATACAATGGAATATTACTCAGCCATAATTAATGGTGAAATCTCTCCATTTGCAATAACATGTATGGAGCTAGAGAATATTATGCAAAGCAAAATGTTAGAGAAAGACAAATACCAAATGATTCTACTCATGTGTGGAATTTAAGAAACAAAATAGATGAGTATAGGGGATGGAAAAGAAAAAGAGAGAGGGAACTAAACCATAAGAGAGTCTTAACCATAGAGAACAAAGTTGTTGGACGGGAGGGGGTGGGGATGGGCTAAATGGGTGATGGGCATTAAGGAAGGCACTTTTTGTAGTAAACACTGGGTGTTATATGAGTGATGAGTCCCTAAATTCTACTCCTGAAACCAATATTATACTGTATGTTAACCAATTAGAATGTAAATAAAAAATGGATACAAAAAATAATTGTTAGTTTTTTTCTTTCAGTTGTCAGGTATTTTGTTTTAATTCTTCATTTATGTTGAAGCTCTGTAATTAGTGACATACACATAAAAGATTTTCATGCCAAAAATTTATGAATGTAAATTATGTACTATTTGTTGGTTAATTGAATATAAATAAATACATTTAAAAATAAATAAGTAAAAAAATAAAAATAAAATTATGAATATCTGCAAATGTGAGAGAAGTTAGGCTGGTGCTGGGGAGCCATATCCCCATGCAGAGTCAGGGTTCTGTTCTGCTCTTTGTCTTTGAGATACTCCTGGTGGGGCCATCTTGCAGGACATTCCAAATAACCTATAACAACCTATGTTCAGGACATCTACAAATCCCAGAGTGAGGAATTGTTTATTGTTGCTGGATGAGATGCTAAATTTTTGACTTTGGACTATGGCCTTTGTGCACTTGTTTTTATTTTTTTTTATTTTATTTTTTTAAAGATTTTATTTATTTATTAGTCAGAGAGAGAGGGGGAGAGCGAGCACAGGCAGACAGAGTGGCAGGCAGAGGCAGAGAGAGAAGCAGGCTCCCCGCTGAGCAAGGAGCTCGATGTGGGACTCGATCCCAGGACGCTGGATCATGACCTGAGGCGAAGGCAGACGCTTAACCAACTGAGCCACCTAGGCGTCCCTGTGCACTTGTTTTTAAAAACATTCCCTAGTCTCTAAGTTTGCTTATGCATATTTTTAACTTTTAATTTGCTTTGTTTTATCCTCTTAATCTTTTCTCTCCTTATATTTAATATATCTGCTATCTTTTAAATCTGTTGCATTTTCATTGTTTTATTTTTTCTTAGCTTGTACATTTTATACTCTGGTTTTATAATTGTCCTTTATTAACATTTTAATATTTTATTTTAGCTTATTTACAGTTTTAACACTTGGTTTATTTATAATGATCTTCTCTTACTTCATTGTTTTAATTTGCTATCCCTTAAATTTTATTTTAGTAATTTATATTTATCAATTTTAATTATATAAGTGATACATAAATATATGCTTTTTTGTGAGAATTAAAACACTACAGAAGTATGTAGACATGCATGGAATAAGAAATGAAAGGTCCTCTTGTTACCCACCACTCCAGTATTTTTCTTCTTCCCAAACATTCCTTCTAAACGTCCAACACACTAAGAGCAAAATACAATAATTGTATCATATCTTTATTATTCTGCAACTTACTTTCATTCACATAATATGTCTCGGTGATCTTTTCTATCAAAATAGGTAGACTGACTTTAATTTAACCACTGCATTCATAGTATAGATGTAACATGATTTACCTAACCATACCCCCATGGATTGCTTCCAAGTGCTCTTTTCAGGGAATGCTTTTCTTTGATTATTATCTAAGTATTGAGTTTTTGAGATTGTGTCATGAATCAAACGTCTGCATTACATAAAAACAGTCATGAATGACCAATGACTTATAAAATAAAACCTTACTCAAACTTTCTTTTTGCTTAACATTAGGTCCACTTTTTGAGTGTTGTTGAGTCATTTTCTGTCTTCAGTGAATATATAATACAAAGTGAAGTTGCAAATCTTGGCAAAGATGCAGGATTCCATGAAATCAATGAAAGTGATCTTAGTTTGCCTTAATTACAGGCAAAATGTTTTTCAAGTAGGAATCTGATGCAGTTAAAGTCTAGTTGATACATCAAAAGAGTGTTATTTGGAAAAAAAAAATCAAACTATGTATAATCTTCAGATGAAGCCCTGTGAAACTTTACCATAATTATTCTTTTTATGATCACTTACAAAAATCTTTGTGAAGTAGAGAATGCCACATTCTGTTATCACATAATTTTGTCAAGCATATTTTAAAATTTCTTCTAAGATTTAGTACACATATACAATTGTAACTTAAATTTTGTTGAATATGAAATAATTAAAATTATTTCATAATTTTCTGTTTTAATTTCTTTTAAATAGGCTCCACACCCAACATAGAGCCCAACACAGGGCTTGAACTCATGACCCTGAGATCAAGAACTCTTGAGCTGAGATCAAGAATTAGATGCTCAACTGACAGAGCCACCTAGGCACCCCTTCAGTTTTCATTTTAAGGTAAACTTCCAAATTCTCCCTCCATTCTTTTTATGCAATGTTTTTCTTTATTTTATGTGGATTGATTTTCATTTTTTTATGACCAAAATTATCCAAAGTTATTCACTTATTCAGGATCTCACAAACTTAGTTCCTGATATTTTGCTTCCCCCACTCCCCAAACTGCTTCTCCTATAGTAGAGACTCAAGAAAGAGAAAGTGTTAACTGTATTAAATGCTGTTGAAAGATCTACTAAGACAAGGACAGAGAAGTGATTATAGGATCTAGCAAGGTGGAAGTCATTGGTGAACTTGACAAGAAAGCTTGGTTTCAATGGGTTTAAGGGAGAATGGGGGAAAGAGGCTTATAGGTAATGAGAATAGAATTCTCTTTTAAGGGTTTGCTGTAAACAGAAAGAAAGAACTGGATAATAGCTGTAGAGGAACATGAGTCTAGATTGGAATATACCTTCCAAGACTGGAGATCACAGCATATTTGTATGTTGATAGGAGTTATGCAGTGGAGAGATAATGCAGGAGAGAGAGGGGTATTTTTGAGGGGTATGAAGGAGTTATTAGGTATTGGTAACTGCAGTTCCCAAGGAATAACAATGGGAACTAGTAGCTGGAACATATAGGACGAGATCATTGTGGGCGAGGAGGTTAAAAAACTATCAGGCCGTGTTATTGGAAGGACTATCCATATGTATGTTGAATTCACTAAGAATGTGATGGGAGTAGTTTCAGAGAGAGGGATAGTGAATCAAGAGATAAAACCTTCAAGGAATGGGGGTCAGTGGATGATGGCAACAAGGCAGAAGGTGGGTGGTAAAATTTGATTTCTTGCTGTTTTAATGTTAAAAATATCCTGCTTTTTAATTTTCTTCATTCTTACCTTTAATTTGATATAGTTTTTGTTTTTAATTTATGATTTAACTTTTTATTGCACAATTTTTATTTCTATAACTTTTTCTTCTTTTATTGTAAACATATTTAATTTTCCCTTTTCCCTTTATGTTCTGTGGTTATTTCCCATTCTTTTAAAATATTACTTTAACTCAGTTCTAAAAGAGAATAATTTTCTATTTTGTCAATTCTTGGTTGTACTACCCAACAAAATTTCTGGTTACAGGGCAAGTATAAACCCTATAGAGTGGAAATTGGCTGTGATTTCCACTGCCATTTTCCTTGTAGATCTGTATCTCTTTCATATTTTCTTGTGGTATGTGAACCTCTGAACTCCATTTCCTTATCATTAGGGTTATGGAAATATATCGGCTATCACAGAAATAGTTGCAATAAATTTTTTAAAGAGAATGATAGTACTTTTACTACAAAATTGTGATTTACTTAATAACATAAAGTCCAGAGGCTTTAATCTTCCATTACACAGAACACTAGTAACCACTCTCATTTTCTGAATAATAAACTTTTGAATCCATGAAAATATTTGTTTCTGATGCCTCAAAACTTCTTTTAATTTTTGATGAACTAACACATTAGCCATCTAGATATTTTATTCTTTTAAGATGGCTAAAAACAGTGTCAACCCCTTTTGGTAAGAAGTATTTTCTTACATGTTAAAACACTGTCAGTAGTGATATAACTATTAATCATTCTTTCCTCTTTTTGCTAATAACAGAATCCCCTTTTTCCTTTTATGAACTTCTCTTCCATCACCTAGTAGGGCTGTTTGTCACATGAATCCATTTCTAGTACAGGATTAGGGATGTAGCCCAGGGGGCCAATCAAAGTATCTTACTCACTGGATACGGTGATTAATATGGGAGTGGTGCATATCCCACAAAGGGATAATCAAGGATTGATAGAGATCATTATAGGAGCCTTTTCCTGTGATCATCTTCACTGACTATTAGTTATAGATTAGCCTAGAGCTGTCATGTTGACATGTTGTGTTACCATATGGAGAGAGAGAAGGTTGGGTAGAGGTAGTGTAGAGGGAGAAAGGGAACTCAGTCCTTTCATAAATCATTTGAATATGCCTGCCCAGTCATGCCTGATTTATCCATGGACTTTCCAGTTATGTGGCCCAATAAATCATGTCTCCCTTTAGTAAGTTTGAGTTGCATTCTGTCATGTGGTAGCAAAAACTCTGAAGATAAATTGTCTAATATCATGAATATTTTTCCATGGCAGTACTTAAATTTTCACTCTATTATTTTAAAAAGGCTATAGTATAATATATCATTGTACAAATATAATTTGTTTTACATTCTACTAATGATTGTTTCCAGTTTTTTAAAAAAGTAATAAACCATGCTGTAGTAAATATCCATATATGTGTGCATGAATGTGTAAATACAGTATCAAGATTGTTGGGTCAAATGGATATGTGGGCTTGAATTTTGATAGATCTGGAAAAGTGACATCCTGCTACTTCAAATTGTATACCAATTAATATTTTTAACAGGAGTATATGAAAGTGTCTGTTTTTATATACATTCAATGTTCTGATTATTTTCCTATCTGAGGGGATAAATCTTGTCTCATTTTTATCAACTTACTTATTGGGGTTATTAAATTTATTATTATTAAACTTATTAAACTACTTATTTATTTTATTTAGTAAACTTTTTAATACCGAGATTATGAAACTTATAAATTGAGACAAAAACAACTTATTTTTTGAGATTATTAACTGATGAGTAATTAATTAATTTTGCATGGTACTTTTCTATGGCTGTATTTACCTAGCAGTTTAACCTTGAGTACTAGCAGAGTAAACAATCACTCCCTTGTCTAGTGGCTTCTTCTCACCTGTAAGTTATGATGCTGATACAGATTATTTATAGAGGAAATAAAGGCAATGAGCATTCTTGAAGTCTAACGATCCTTTTCAATAATTTCCAAATTTGTCCCTAACTTTTACCAGGGACATTAAGAATGTGGAAAGTTTACTATTATGAATTTCAAATTTTATACCTTCCATTCCTGCTGTGCTGGTGGAGAAGTGAGTAGGTAGTGCCAAGAGTCAATAGGTAAGGAAACAGAAGACATAAGGGACTAGGTAATATACAAGCAGTAAAGCAATCCCCAAAGTGCTGGGAACTGTCTCAGATTCAGCTAAAGTTAATTCATATCTACAGAGTGTGGGTTAGGGAGCAGGTGTAAAATAAAATATGAAGGCATTGCAAGTTTCTTATTAATCTGAACAGAAAGTTCTAAAAAAAACCAAACAACTCCACTTTCTACATTTCCAGAAGCAGTTCTCTTACTTGAAAGTTTTCTTTGATCCTTTCAGGGTTAAAACTTTTAGGAATAACAACCACTCCTCTCTGGATGTTGAAACGTAAAACAACTTGAGCTGCTGTCTTACTGTACTTTTTTCCCAGTGCGTTTAGAAGTTCATCCTTTAGCAAAGGTGGGGAGGATACATTCACCCTTGGAAAAAAAAAAAAATCAAAACCTGCATCATATTTAGCTCAAGTAATGAGAACATCATCTTCAATCACCCTCCTTCTTTGTCTCCCCACCCACCTGGTCCCCTACCAGGACACTTCAAGTCTCTGTCACCAATTTCTCCCAGAGCAAAGCACTCAGTGAAGAGTTGCTTTTAGCATGAGAATATCAAGAGAGGCAAATTGATAGAGCTGTCTCTTTCAGAGGGTAAATAGTATTTCTTTGATGGGTCTCAGAGAGAGAACTGATTTGGAAGAAGGCACAGGGGAGGCAGGAAGACCAAAGTGGAAGAAACAGAGTTACATACAACTCTTAGAGTCATCCTCATGTAAAAAATTTCTACTTAAATCTGTGGAACATATCACATCAGAAGTGCTACCTTTGAATCCAGAGATCAAAAAATCCTAAATTTTGAGGATATGGTCATGGAGACTCTTTGTCAAATAATAATACCTAAACTAACACTTACTGAACATTTCTATATTTCGGGCACTGTTACGTGATATGTAATATATTTATATATAAGTATATTATATAATTTATATATAAGTATATTATATATAATATACTTATATATAAATATATATAAATGTATTAATATATTAAGATATTTAATAGGTTATACATACAGTATAATCAATTCTTATACCACATTTGTGAGGAAGGTTTTATTAGCTCCAACTTGTATATACAGAGAATGGCTTGAAGAGATTAACTTACTTTCTTAAAATCACAGAGCCATATAGTTATGCCAATCAAGTAATTCATATTAGTCTCATACTCTACATTGAAGGAAACACTGCTGAAGAGACATACAGCATTGCTTACCAGCTTGGATTCCTGGAGGTACCCAGAGGGCTGTATGCAATAATGACAATATCATGTTGTTGGCAAAATTTCAAGAGTTTTGGCTGGGTGAAATATGGGTGGCACTCGACCTGCACGGTTGCATTGGAAAGCAGGACACGAAATTAAAATCTTGTAGTGAACGCAGTTTTACACAGTTTTTAAAAAGTTTTTCAATAAAACCCACTTATGAGTATTATGGATAATGAGGCAACTGCTAAATACTTTTCCTAACAAGGAAGTTTACACTGTTTCTTTGTGAGATTAATTAAAACGAGGTTAGTGAGGTCACCATCTGTGGAATAATTCTAAAGTAAGTGAGTGGGGAACAAATTCAATTTTGTAAAGTTATCATAGTTTAAAACTTTGAGGGAACAGACTTAATTATTTACAGTCACCATTCCAGCAAATACAATTTTCTGTAACCAAAAAAAAAAAAAACAGTCTCAAGGTTCAGATTACAGTCTTGGTAGTAGAAGTGACATGTTGCAGAAGCCCTCTCCCTGTAGCTCTCAAGCATCTAAGAATATTTTCACAAGGGGTAAAGTATGTATAAAATGAAATCTAAAGATGAATTTTGTCGTTTTGGCCAAGAGTTCTTTACACCACCCTGTGCAGGCCTATGTTCATCTTTAGTATCTTACTGGCAAGATTCCTGCACTAAAAATACTGTGTCAGAAAGTTCTTCTCAAAATTTCTTCTTAACCACCATGATAATTTTTGACCTATTCTTTTTTTTTCCTTTTTAAATTAAAATCAACCAAGGTTGAATTGAAATAATTGAAGCATATATTTATTATCTTCATTGTCTGGAATAGTGAGTATTTGGCAAGTTTTATTTCTAGAAGGTACAAGTAGATGCTGCTTATGAAATGGCAAAAGTAAACTGGGCCTCTTCGTGGTGGGTCTCCTCTTTCTGTTCTCTAATTTGATTAACTTTTTTTTTCCCTCTGACATAATCTTGTTCCCTTACCCTAAGAAACACTTGTGGGATTTCTCCCCTTTGGAACATTTCTTAAATAATTCTACAAAGTAACACACAGACTAAAATAAGGCAGGAATCACACTTCTTAGTGTTTCCTTCCTTTACCCTCTCCGACTTCCAACATCGCTCCCTACTTTTTCAATTCCAATCTTGTCTATTATTGGTAGACTGGTCTTTCCAAAACACGTATATCACATCATTCCACTGCTTAGAAACTAAGTATGAGTTCCTTAACTTAATGGCCACCTGCTCATTCCAAACACAACATTTCATTTTCTCACAAGGACTCCTTTCTAATCAAATTGGTGTGCTGTTGCTTGTCTTTGGCCTATTAAATATGTAGAAGTATGTATGCATATATATATGTATGTATATATGTGTGTGCTTACATACACATCAAACAGTTTTATAACCTACCCTTTTAAAAAGGACCGCATACGGCTTGTGGCAGAAGCTATGGGTAATAAGGCTATTACAGTTAGAAGTAAAACAGGTATGCACATTTCGGATCTGTGACTGAACTGAATCTGTGAACTGAAGCTTGGGACTACACAGAGAGTTGTGTTGGGCAACATACTAGAAACTTCTGCTCAACAAAAGCTTTTGAGTTAACATAGAAACTCAACAACATAACTTAAAATAATATATAAATCTTTGGATTGATAGTTGTCAGGTAAAAATTTGACAGCATATCACTAAAGGGACAACCAGTAAGGGAAATGCTGGGGGTTGGAGTGGATAAACTACGATCCAAGGGCTTATGAATTCACAGAGAACCATATTCCTTCTTCTCAGAGTGTTTATCTCAGTTTCTAATTATTGATAACCTTTGTGATTGTTTGATTAATGTGTGCTCCCCACTAGACAGCTAGTGTTCCAAGAAGAAGGGCTTTATCTGTCTTTTGTCACTTATGCGTGCCTAGAACCTAGGAAAGTGCCTGGCCTAGGGCAGGTGCTCAATGACTGTTGAATGAAAATGTTATGATACAGAGAGGACCAAGTTAGCACCTTAGGAAGTATTACTGATGCTGGGGACTGTTACAGGAGGGGCTTTGTCAGGACTGCGGCTTGGTGTGGTCATTTCAGGCCAGTGAATAATCCTTGTTTTGAATGCTGGCATGGGATGTTCAGTTTAAGGTAGAAGGTAGTAATGGTTTCTGTTGTCACAGTGCCTTGATGTCGTCATTGCCCTGGAACTTGCTCATTTCCAAGGAGAAGCATATCTAAGCACACTTGCTTCCTTCTTTGCTACAGACAGGTTATAGCAAGATATCCTTTGTGGATGGGCCAATGGAGATGCAGTCTTTACTTTTTCTTGCATACTATGTAAAATTGATGTCACATGTCAGTGTCTTGACAGATCTGGGGCTTTTACCACACTATTTGGTAGTACAGAACTTCAGATATCAAAATCTCACATGGTGAAGTTAAGCTGGACAGAACCTGTGAAGGAAGACATTAACCCCATCCTGTGTCTTCCTGTAAAAATTGGTGTTGCGTTTTCCATTTCATTAAGTCACTCAAAAAGTGTTTATTGATTCCTATCAGAACATCTGTGATTTCAGCATAATGAATAGGGTTAGGAAAAACTGAAGAACTTGGAGATCCTACTGTTCTCCCCACCTCCCTCCCTTCGTTTGTTAGTAGAGTTAGGTGTGTGAGATTAAATGGCCTGAGGTAGATCCACAGTCTACTTTGAATTAGACTGGGAGAATGCTGCATGACAAATTGTCCACCAGGAAGCCTTTCAGAGAGACTAAGCCAGGGATGGAGCCTGGAGACACATTTGTTTGGATAGACACCATGGATAGTACTAAGGAAGCTTGGAATGCTCAGGCTCTGAGAATGAGTATAGAGTAAGGTCATATTCTATGGGCCCTTGTTCATAAAGTCTATGAAAAAATATAAAAATTTGCAAATTATACTTCAGATTTATTCTAATGGGAAATTTAGTTTCCTCTTCCTTAGCACGAGGAGACACACTGTCAATTCTTACTCCATTTTTCATTCTGAGGTCAAAAATCACCATCTTTCTTAGTATATTTGTAAGAAGAAACATGTATCATTTTAACCTTTTATAACAAAATATTATTCTTGTAGGGTGCAGGAGGGAGACGTGCTAGTGAGGGTTAGAGTAGGAACAAAGGGATAGATGGAGATCAGTTACGAAATCAAGGTTTGTTGCTCTTGGCTCCTTAGAGCACGTGGTATAGTGTTGGCTTAAGTGTCATAGGAAGTGATACTTCTAAACACAGCAATACCTGTCTTTTAGCTGGTAATTGTCATGATAGGTAATAATTCATTCTTTCTGTTATGAACTCAAGACTGTTTCGAGTTTCTAAAAACAATGAATCAAGAAAACAAGTCAACCATAACTCCAGTATGTGAATATTTACCCAAAGAATGTTTTTTAGATGTAGCTTCTTAGTGTTCTATGAAGTAGGGTGAAGAGAGTATCTTTATCCCCATTTAACTAGTGGGTAACAGTATTTTGTTGTGATTATAAAAGTAACATATGCGCCCTACAGAAGACTTGGAAAATATAGAAAAGCATAAAGAAGAAAACAAAATTCCCTTGTAATTCTCAGCCAGAGATAACTACAGTTAGTATTTTGATATATTTCTTTCCAATATTTTTTCTATGCATGTTTTTAAATAATATATTCACATCAATATTGAATTACACTTTGTATCCTGGTTTTTCTCCTTAATATCATGGCCATTACTCTTCCACTCAAAAATGATTCGAGAACATCTTTAATTAAGATTTTACATTATATGAGTTTTATAATTTAAATATTATCCTAATTTTTCATATTTCTGTTGTTTCCTTTCCATTTTTTTTTTTGGCCTTTAAAAACAGTGCTGTGACAAACACACCTAAAGGCTTTCAGATTTTCTTTTTCACAAGGGTAAATTCTTAGGAATATAAGACTATGAACATTTTTTAAGGCTCTTTACACTTATTGCCAAATAGCTTTCCAGTAAGGACAAACAAATTTGTACTTGCCAGCAGCACTTTATCACTTGCTTATATGGAACATTACATTAAAAAATAAAAGCTTTTCTAATTTGATATATGATACAAAATAATACTTGTAATTACTAGCGCAGTTGAACATTTTTTATATGTTTACTAGTCTTGAAATTTGTCTTCTCGAATTTCTATTCACAGTTCTTTTGCTCACTTTTCTGTTGAGTTTTAGTGTTTTTGATTAGTTTTGATTTTATTGTTTTTGATTTAGTTAATTTTTTCATTAATTTTTATTAAGCTTTAATTCATAAGGATATGATCTCCCTTTCTACTATATTTAAAAATATAATTATCCATTTTTTATTCTTTGTTTACAATATTTTTAGAGTTTGTTTTTATACTATTCAATATGTCAGTTTCTTTTATAATTTTCCAATGGCTTCGTTTCTACCTATAGCTCTAGAAAACTAAAATCATTTTGTAGTGTTCATAAGTGACTTCCTGTTTCATCTTTAACTCCTGATTGAAGAGATACTAGGAGTATGACATGAGGCAAAGATTTGTATTTGTTTCTATACAATTAGCCATTTCCTCCAAACTATTTACTGAAAACTTCATCTCTTTGCCATTGACATTAGTTTGTGTTACTGTTTCTACATTAAGTTTTTATTATACTTGGGCCTGTTTTTAAGGTATTGCTTATTTTCTATTAATTTGGTTATCTGTTGGCTCTTACACTAATCTTACATAATTTTAAGTACTCTGCATGTCTTAGTAGCTGGCAGATCTAGTTTCTCCTCATTACTTTTCCTCAAAAATATTTTTGGATTATTTTTGCCTGGATCTGAACTTGCAAATCTTTTTTTAAGAGACATAAATTGAGAGAAATAAAAAGACTTGTTCTCAGGGTCTTATGATGAGATATATGTAGAGTGACCACAAGATTTCTGACTCCTAGTCCAGGGTTCTCCTGGTAAATAAATATTGGAATCTTCTCCCACCCCTCACTCCCCCCTCACCTCCCACCTCCTAGCAAACTATACCTGGTTGCTGACTGGCTTATGTTTGAGTCCTGGTTTGTTCAAGATGAGTTCCAGCTGCCTGCGGTTAAAATTGGATACTCCAAGAGATTTCACCAAGCCAGCATCTTTGCAAGCTTCCAAAGCCTGTTGAGTAAAGGTCAATGTGTTAAGAAAAAAGCCTCAAAACAAATGAGAATGTTTATGAGAGTGACGATGAATTCTTTAAGAAAGAAAGTCCTTGGGTATGTTAATACACATTCTGTGAAGAAAAAAAAAGGTGGGAGAGACAGGCAGGAATTCTATACTTGAATTAGTTTCAGAAATACTGTACAGCATATCTTTCCCTTGAATTTCACAATGTATACTAGTCCATTAAGAATGATTTTACTTCTTGAAATCTGTTGAGATTTGCTTTATGGCATGGTACCTGATCCATTTTTAAAAAGGTCTGGTGTGTGTGAAAATGTATAGTCTCCTTTTATTAGATATAAATCTCTCCCCTCTTGCTCTGTCTCTCTCATACACACACACACACACACACACACTCACTATATACAAAATTAGGTCTAGCTTTTCTTGGCTTCTCAATAATTTAAAGGGACATGTAAGAAATTTCCCACTATATTAGAAGCATTTATCAATGTCTTCTTACAGTTTATCAACTTTTGCTTTATATATTTTAAAGATATTTTATATGGTACATATGTGTTTAAAAACTGGTATATTTTCTTGGTAAATTGAATCTTTTATCTTCATGCTATTTACATTTCCCTATAAATTTTAGAATCAACTTTTTAATTTCTTTTGGTAATTTGACTGTGATTCTATTGAATCTTTCAATTCAGTTTGGGGAAAATTAACATCTTAATGTATTCAGTCTTTCTATAAAAGAACATGATATATCTTTTGACATAGAGTTTTAAAAATTGTTCTCAGTAGTGGTACCTGGCCAGCTTAGTTGGTAGAGCATGTAATTCTAATTTTTTTTTTTAAGATTTTATTTATTTATTTGACAGACAGAGATCACAAGTAGGCAGAGAAGCAGGCAGAGAGAGAGGAGGAAGCAGGCTCCCTGCTGAGCAGACAGCCTGATGCGAGGTTCGATCCCAGGACCCTGAGATCATGACCTGAGCCGAAGGCAGAACAGAGGAAATAAGCCACCCAGGCACCCCTGTAATTCTATCAGACAGCTTACTTTGCATAAAGAATGTTATTAAATGTATTGAGATTTGTTTCATATCTCAGACCATAGACAATTTTGTTAAATGTTCTATGTGCACTTGAAAAATAGCATTTTGTTATATTTTGGTGATGTAGTCTATAAATGTCAATTAGATCAAGCAGTTGATAATGTTCAAATATCTTCTATAGATTTTGTCTACTTTTTAAAATCCTTGACTATTATTGCAGACTATTCTCTTTCTCTTTTTAGTTCTCTTCATTTAAGTGTCATGTATTTTGGAGTTCTGTTATTAAGTACATAGATATTTAGGATTAATCTCTTCATTATTATAAAACAAACTTCTTTATCCAAGCTTGGTAATACATTTTGCTCTGAAGTCTTTGCTGATATTAAAATAGTTACTCCAACTATCTTTTGATTACTGTCAGCATAGTGTATCTTTTTTATTCTTTTACTTTTTTCCTTAAGATTTTACTTCTAACCTATTTGTGTCTTTTTATTTAAAATGGATTTTTTTTAATCTATGTAGCAGGCTTTTGCTTTTTATCTATTCTGATAACCTCTGCCTTTTAACTGAGTTGTTTAGACTATTTACATATATTGTGATTATTAATATAAATGAGTTAAATCTCCCATCTCGCTCTTTGTTTTTTATTTTTCCCATCTATTCATTTTCTCTCTTCTCTTCCTGTTTTCTCCTTGATTTGTTTTTGTTTCTTCAATTTTTTTCCCTTACTTGCTTGTTTGTTATACTAAGGAAGTTTTAACATTTTCTCTGTATGTTTGATATTCTGAAATTTCACTGTAACGTGTCTAGGTAAGGGTTTTCTTTTTTTCTTTCCTTTGGCAATCCATGCCCTTTATCTCTCTCTCTCTCTCTTTTTTTTTTTTTTCCCAAATATTACCTTTTTTTTCTTTTTTCTTTCCTTTTTTCCTGAGGTTCCTATTATATGAATACTAGAAATTCTAATTTTATCTTTCACATCTCTTAGCTTTTCCTTCATATTTAAAAAATTTTCCTGTCCTTTCCTTCTTCATATTGGGTGATAGTGTTCCTCATTCTGATCTTCAATCTGATAATTTTTTCTTTGTCTGTATCTATTCTATTTTTATCCCATCGATTGCATTGTTTTACATTTTTCTAATTATTATTTTTGCTTGTTTTTAAAAAAGATATATTCTTGTTCTTGTTTCATATTGCTAATATCTTATCTCCTTGAATATATTAATTGGTTTAAAAAGTTAAAAGTTGTTGGTTCTCTGTTCTGTTTATGTTCAGATCTCTAATTAAAATATGAAGTTTCTTTGTAAAATAAATGCCTTGTAATTTGGGGCTGTGAACACATTTCTTTTCCTGGGGATACTGGCTACGCTATCAGTCTGTCACTTGGAAGGGAATACCACACTCCAAACCTAGTCATCTACAGTGAGGTCAAGAATGAGTTTATGGTCTGTTGGGTGGAGAATCCCAGGCACCAGAAAATGCAGTCAATGCCTCCTCACCCTTCAAAACAATTCCACAATTCAGCTATTATCTATAGGGTGGAAGTCCATTAGAAAGAGGTACTTTTTAGAGTGTAATTTCCCAGCCTCTGGAGTTTGGAATGGGAGAAGGAGGGAAACAATTACCAGAGGTCAGATAGTAACTTAGGTTTTTCTCAGCCTCTCACAAGTACAGGTTTTCAGTGCTACTCTGATTTGATTCCTGAAGACATCTGAACACGAGTCTTAAGTTTCTGCACGGGTGGAGCAGACAATATTTGCTCCAAGCTATAGCAGAAGAGAAGAAACAGCAAAAAGAACTCTAAGGTCCTCTCCTATTTTATCCTCTTAGAGCTTATTGGGCTGCCTTCTACTCTAGGTAAAAGCTGTCATATTACCTTATAAATAAACCAGTTCAAAATATCTGTATCTTCCACCCCAATCATGAATCCATGCAGGTTTTCTCATTACTCTTCCCTAGTTTTCCTACTCTGATGATCCTGGGGAAGGAGCTTGCTCAGAATTGGAACCAGAGTTTTTTTTTTTCAGTTTTTCATGAATCATTTAAAGTTTGTTTCTTTTAAACATATTATTGATTTTTGTAAATTCAATTTGAGAAACTTCAAAAATTTGTGAATTTATCCCATTTATACACTTTTTATTTATAGTTACATTAGAACTTACTTCCTCTACTTTTTTTTTCTTTCTACACTTCTCTCTGGCATTTTTCTTTTCCATCAAAACAAAATCAAGAATTTTTCAGTGCAGAGAAGTGGGAATTTTACACATCTTTGCTTATGGTTAAAAATACCTGTTCTGACTATTACTTTCCATTAGGAGTAAAGGCTGCATCTCTCCCTTTATTGAACAGGAATAGTCAGATCACAGTTTAAAAATGTAGTCTTCAAGAAAAGAGACCCATTTAAACTTACCTCCCAAGTGGCACACAGATTTGACTTGTGATATAACCATTTGCCATTCTCATCTTTAGGATAGGGTTCATCTCCAGGCTACAAAAAAATGAGTATAATTTATTTTATTTATATCTGGGAATTAAAATTATGGAATTTGAGTTGTCATTATACCATATAGCCTGGCCCTGAGAAAGCAATTCAATTTTAATTATTTTTATATTTATATATAATAAATATGACACATTAGTCTCATTATCTCACCCAGGCATTCATTTTCCTTTATTTATTGACAGATTATTATTGTTCTTAAACCTTGACGTTCTCTCATAATGAAAGGAATCTGTTCAATTCCCCCGCGCCCACAATGACCCCAGCCACACTTACAGACAAAACTCACAGGTGTCAGTACTTTGCCCTGTTTTTCTAGATCATGGTGCCCTACATTTTTGGAAAGTGGACACCAACTACAAAATATATTCTCTAGCCTGATCACAGCCCACATCCCAGATGAGCCTTGGACAGAGCCCCTTGAAAAACCTGTTGTCTTCTGCTCTACCTGGCTGAGCCAACCCCTTCCCCTTACCACCAACCCCCCCAACCCCCACTCCTGGCAATGGATACAGCTATAACCCTCTCGGATCCTTTGAAGTCCCTTAAGAGGCCCAGGCTGACAGAAACTTGGGGGCCAACATTTCTCTGGATGTCTGGTCCCTCTCCTCCCTTGGAGAGTGAATAAACTGTCATGTTTATTGCTCTACTCTTCGTGCAATTCTTTGCCACACTCACCACCAGCCACTCTAACAGTTAATAATAAAATTACTCAAAAAAAGGAGTAGAAGTTGAGAATTAAGACTTTTATGCTCAGTATTTTGACCTAACACTAACCCTTGCCAAATTTGAGAACAGCAAATTTGTTACTCTGATAAGAAACCAAAGATCATCATGAAGTGTGAGAGGAAGTTCTTCAGCTAAGAAAAGTATAGCTAATGAGTGGAATGCTCCCTACATATAAGGGAAAACTCAGCCCATTACTTCTTAGTTCTGACTAATCTGCCCAATGATTCTCTTCTTTTCCTTTCTGGGCCCTCCAGGAGTTTAGCATCTGTTTTCGACTTCACAAAGTATCTCAGTATCAAACCTAGTTTTTGGGTAATCCTTTTCCAACTAAGACTGACCATTGATTTTCAGATTTTTCCTTTTTTACTTATCTAAAAATGGGACCCTTCTCTTATGGGCTTGGAAACAGGATAGAGAGAAATAAAAGAAGATTTCTAGGTTCCTTGGTTGACTGGTGGTGATCATTCCCTGAGTTTAAGCTAGCCATCAAGAATTTTGTTTTGATTATGTTGAGAATGAAATGGCAATTAGACATTCACTGGGTATTTGAGGAGGCAATTAAACAGAGTAATCTGAGAGAGGCAGAGAAAGAAGTCTTGACTGTAGACAAATTTGGAAGTCCTCAGCATATAAACTGGTATTCAATCCATTTGACTGATCACCTTTAGAGAAGGTGTGGCCCAGTAAGACAATATTAAGAATAGAGTACTGGCATAATGACATTTGGAGGTTGACAGGGAAGAATCTGTCAAAGCATTCTGAGATGGTGATATCATAGAACCATGAACTGAAAATGTTGAAAGAAAAAGGTAGTAGCCACCTGTATTGAAAGAGATCAGATAATATGGGGACAAAGTGTCTTTTAGATTTGGATGGCAGGATGGAAGTCTCTAGACCTTAATAATGGGAATTTTTTTGTTGAAAATCAAGCAACTGGACAAAATCAATTATACTCTTAAAATTTTAAAAAAGTTTCCCTTCTGTCATCTCACCTGAATGAAACTTCCCCTCTGGTGATAACATTTTCTCCATTATACTCTTTAGTGAGAATAATTTCTCAATTCCTCTGTCTCACTGAGAACAGTAAAAGGGCTGATTTCTCCTCAATGCCCCATAATCATTCATGTTAATTACCCTTTCTATCTCTGATTTCTAAGCTCTTTGAACTTCTCAACACTTATGACCCCACATTTTTCATTCCAGTCTTTCTCCATATTTCTTGCCTTTTGCATTTCCTAGTTTTACTTCTGTTCTGAAATGGCTTTCTTTATGCCTTTGTTAGGAACTCTGTTAAATAATTTTTACTTCTCCAGATTTTAATTAAGTCCTTATGAAGACTGCACCCATGTTAAATATTTCTATGATGCCTCCCTTCATCTGTGTCTACTTTACCAATCCATTCATCCTGATAAACCCATTGTCTTTGTCCTTTATGCCTGCTCCTTATGGTAAGATATTGCTAGGAGAATAATCCAACCCTCTAAAAACCCATGCTACTGACTCTCATTCTTGCTCAGCAGTAACTTCTTTCTTTTAAAAATGTCTTATCATGGGGTACCTGTGTGGCTGAGTTGGTCAAATGTCAGACTCTTGGTTTCAGCTCAGGTCATGATCACAGGGTCCTGGGATTGACCCCTTGTCCAGCTCTACATGGAGTCTGCTTAAGATTCTCTCCCTCTTCCCTCTGCTCCCTCTCCACAACTCATGCTCTCTCTCTCTCAAATAAATCTTTAAAAAGATCCTTAGAAATGTCCTATTGTGATTTTTTTATTTTGTTGTTCTAAAATTGTATCTGCTTGTTAACTTGACATTTAAAAAATATTAAAGTGCAAAAATATTTTAGCAAGAAAGTTTTCTTGTTAAAAATATGATGAGATTCAAAAAGCATGTGATATTTTGGCTACAAAGATTGATTTCTCCATTATAGGAATTACAGGTTCATGTGAGAAGTAATGTCATTATACTGTATAATTTCTTACTGTTAAAAGTTTTACTGTCTCTCTGTATCCTTGAGCCTTGATCCCATCTAAGAATAGGAGTGGAAATTCTCTGTTTACCTTTCCCAAAAAGATTTTACAAATCATTAGTCAGCCACAGAGAAGTAAATTTCATTTTCTCACTTTTAGATATAGGCTCTTTCCAAATCTTAAAGACTTAGCTTAGAAATCTACCATTTGAACATGAGTGAAGTTAGCTGGGTGAGGATGACGGCTAAAGTTACAACTCCCAAGAACCTGAAAATTTAAAAAATCACTATAGTCCACAGAGTATTGGGATTGCTAGGTTTGGAAAGACAAGGCAGAAGGCAGTGTCATGTAGGAGAACAAGAATGGGGTTGGTATCAGGGAACCCACCATCTGGTCCCATTCTAATGAACTTTAAACCTGAGTGAGTTACTTCCTTGTTTGGGGCCTCAACTTTCTCTTCTGTGAAATAAGGTTATTGGGATATCTTATTAATAACGTTCCCTTCCATGTGAACATTTCAGAATATCATCTTTCATTTATTATCTATAAGATGTTAGACATTGTGCCAGCAATGTCACATATATAATTTAATGACTCCTCACACTTGTCAAGGTAGTTGCTATTGTCTCTATTTTACTGATAAAGAAATTGAAGTTCAGAAAGAACAAAAAGAAAGGAAGAAAGAAGGAAAGATCAAAGTGACTGTTGCTAGTAAATAATAAAGCTGAAATTCATTCCCCCTTCTGCATGACTCCAAAGCCCATACAGACTTTTTCTACTGCCTGGTGTTTAGGTGATGTGGAAAGTGATCAGGTAATAACCTGACCAAGTCATCTGGCTTGTATATGACACAGCTGGGATTCAAACTAGGCAGCCTGCCTCTGGAGCCCATGCTCCGTACCACTATGTTAAGTGGCCTCTAATTAACTACAGTTGATATCTGTTATTTTGTTTTCTATCATACCTACTCTATCCCCTCTGGAGGAGCTCTTTCCATGTTGTTTGGGTGGGCTGACCCAGCTCTTATTCTTGGTCATGGATGTCAGTAAGTCACTCATCTGGCCTTTAGCAAAGATTAGTCAGTAATAGGTACACGACCAAATGAAGGCTAGCTGGTATTTCTCCATGAGGTTTACTGTGTGGTCTCTCTTTCTCTGAATTCTCACATTGTGCTGACAATGTAGGTTTGGCATATAAATGGCCATTTTGCCATCATATAGAGAAGGATTTTTGAGAATGAAGCCACCAAAACAGAGATGAGGGGCTGGATACATAGTTTGAACTTCTGGATCCAGCTGTGCCTGAATTAGATACCCCTTGGAATTCTTAGCTCCTTTTTTAGCTAACACCAATTTGAGTTGGATTTCTGCCATTTATAACAAGTTCTAGCTAATACAAAGATGCTGGGCTATGGCAAGTAGTGGGCCAAAAATGGGAAATTGGTTAGGTCAACATGGGTTTGTGGACTATGAGAAGTATCTCATCTCCAGTTGCTGGTAATCCCTGCTCTGTAATAGCATAGAATCTGTTAAATTGTTGCTTTGTTCTGTCCTGAGATGCAGACAAATGGGCTACTAAGACTGGAGCTTTAGAGGACTTAGTAGAAAACCACTGGGTGTTAGAATTTGTTGGTCATTTTTGCAGTCTTCAGGTAGGTCTTGAAGAAAGAAGTGTTTGTTGCTACTGGGCTTGTAAAATGAGAGGTAAGATGTTATTTTTCTAGAATGCATACTCTGTACTTCAGGATGTCATCCAAGATGACAGAGGTTCAGATCTGAGCCTTCAGCAGACAGAGAAGTTAGTGACAGCCAAAGCAGGAAGGTAGGAATCCTAGAGGGACGTAATGGACTTTGGGAGAATTCTGATTGTTTTCGAAGACACAATGTCAATCTAGCCACAGATGTCCTACTGGACAAAGGTGCACCATCCAGTGAGATACAGACTGGGTGCAAGGAACACATTAGCTGTGCCTGATTTATATTATTTCATGTCAGATGGAGGTCAGTAAGCTGAAGATGGGGCAGATGAGTAGAATAAAGAAGTTCTTGACTAAGAGACAGAAACCATAGGCCACAAGTTAGATATAGGAAATGTGACCCTATTAGATTTCTAGTTTTAACTACTCATTCATGGACCTGACTGAATGTGAATTTACTGAAAGCATATTACATTTTAAGGGATATTTCTTTGTCCATGAAATCTGAACTTATCTATGAAAGCCTATGATTACCAAGGCCATCATGAAGTCCCCAATCCTATATGTACATGAGGTAGGATGCAAAAGGGCAATGTTTCCCAAAGTCCATGTTGGATGTGACCACAGAAGACATCCGAGAAGGAAAGTATTTCCAGAGGACAAAACAGGGGCAGCCAGGTTGACTACATAAAGGAATTCTGGCCACTGTACTGGCAGAGTATTTGTTCTTCCTGACTAGCAGCAGGATCTGATTTACCCTGTGGACAAGTGGCCAATTTTGTTTTTCAATCTCTCTTGCCCTCAATGAAATTTTAAGGCAGTGACAGCTCTTTAGCAGGGCATATACAGGTGTGTTGTGGGTGGTTAAATTAATAAGCCCATAGACTGAGAAAGTTCAAAGAAGGAGTGAATTTGAACTAGAAGAATAGCTATCACATATTTAATCTGTCCTTGGATCTGGCTCCAAAAACCTGACTATTCTTTGAGCTATGTCCTTTTGGAGGGAGTGGGAGGTGAGCAAGTTTCCAGTTGTATATATTATCTTCCATTATGTTCTGCAGGGACATTTTCATGACTGTGTGAACAAGAAGAAGGGTGTGTCTGAATGCTAGCTAGCTAAAATATAGAGGGCAGTCAGGAGACTACATGTTGGTTTGACGGAGAGGGTTTAAACTACAGTTGTAAAGGGCAGATATATTAGCAAGTGCATTGGATTATGAATCAAGAAACAAGGGTTCCAGGACTGAGTCTGTTATACATAATCTTTGTAGGCATTTTTTGGCGTTGGTCAGTACTATCTGATTTATAGTAACAGAACGCCCTAACACTCTATGGTGGTAAGTAATAAACTGGCTTCATAGCATCACAGGCATAGCTATGGCTAATGGTTGCCAAGGAGCAGAGACCTAACCTTTAGGCATCTGCACTTACCTTGAAAGCCATGGGTATTTCAATGATGTAAAGATCCACATAATCTAGTTGGAGGACATTAAGTGTCTTCTCCAGAGTTGGGCGGACCATCTCTGGGTCATGCCTTGTAGCCCACAGCTGAAAGAATAAAAAGATGATAGTTAACTAACATCTACGCTTTTTTTTTAAACAACCATGCATCCCTTTTTTCTTAACAAAGCACTCCTATACATTATTCACTCTTTTCATTTTACAAAAATATCTTTATGCTGCAGTGTCATCTCGGTATAGGATGAGTTCATACAACTTTTGACACCTGGAATATACTTTATCCAAAAACAGTACCAGAGACTTGAAAATCCACCTGAAGCACAGAGTACCTAGTTCAGGGACGAAGTCTTGCCCTGCTCTCTGTTAATTTCTGAATTGGCCTTCAATACTTTTGCTTTTCCTCATTGTGTAGCTAGGGAACATGGATCTCACTAGAGGGTTGGGCTTAGCACTTTATTTTCATGACATTGTGATAAAAGATGTGCTTTAGTGGAACAAGAAATATGGTTGTGTGAGTGACTTCACCGGATCCTTCACCTTGGGACAGGTGGTGCAGAAGCTGGTGAAACTTTAAGTTATTGCAAACGTTTAGATATCCTTTTTCTGCTCCTTTGTTCTCATTTGGTCCTACTCAGACCCCAGGGAAATTCTGACAATTCATACTATGAAATTACTGGCTCTCTGGCTAAACTAATAATATCACCAAAATAGTGGTGTGGAGGACCCAGCCTTGGCCTCTCCAATAAAGGTCAATAATTTGACAGCTATTCACAGATGAAAATGGGGGAGATGTTGATCAAACCATACAAACTTTCAATGACAAGGCAAACAAATTTTAGGGATCCAATATAACTAACTAACTAAATATTATTAATTTAGTTTTATATAATAAATATATTTTATATAATATGTATTTTATATAATTCAATTAATTATATTAAACACTTTCTAATTTAGATATGAGATATATAAATATAAAATAAAATCTAATATAAAGCATAGTCATTATAGTTAACACTACTATATTTTATATTTGAAAGGTGCTAAGAGAATAGATCTTAAGTGTCCTCACCTCAAAAAGGAAATGGTAATTATGTGATATGATGGAGGTGTTAGCTAACACAATGGTGGTAATCATTTTGCGAAATACAGAAGTGTATCAGATCAACATGGTATACCCCTTAAGTTTACAAAATGTTATATGTCAATTATACCTCAATGAAGCTGGAAAAAATAAAAGAAACTTAGCTTAACAAAAGAAAGAAAGAAAGAAAGAAAGAAAGAAAGAAAGAAAGAAAAGGAAATTACTCAGTCTCTAAAATATTAGATAATGAAAGATTAAGGCTTAGATTGTCAAACTGGAGAGTGTATCCCCTCAGGGTCTACAAAGCATAGGGTACTGAGGGAGCCTCAGAACCTTGGGATAAGTTTATACATTTTCTTGGAGCATCAAATTTGTTCAAAGTGTTTTTTGGGGAAAAAAATTAAATTTCTGTACCCTTTTTGTCACAAGTAAGGGCAAGCAAAATTGGTAAAATTTTATTTTTCTCTATGTTGGACAATAATTTTTTTTCTTGCCTTAAATGCATACAGAAGCAAAAACAATGTAGAAGGAGTAGTGGAAAAATGTGTTTTTGTCATTACTGTGGGCCCATTTGGCATGTTATTGCTGCCATCGCATCGAGCTGAAAACTCTTTCTTATACATGTTATTTTTATTCAACAAACACATATAGTCCTAGCTCTGTGCCAGGTACTATGTTTAAGTGCTTTATAAATGTTAACTCATAGCAACTTTATGAAACAGATGACATAATTTGGTTCAATTTTTCTAATATGATAGATATTGCAACAACATTAACTGTTTACCAGGGGAGATAAGAGAAGTTTTTTGGTTTATTTTTCTCAGTGGTAACTTAAAAACCTAATTTTTACACTAAAACAAAATGAAACAAATAAGAATATATCATGGGGGGGGATGTAAAAGTCTGAAAAAATTTTTGAATAAGACATAAATCTTCAAAAATATTCCTCGCTTTGGGCAGGCTTCTTTGGTCTAAGTTCTCAGGATCTGAGTTCAAGAAATTTTTCATCAGGAACATTTGGGAGCACCAGGTTAATCTTTGGTATTTACTCTAAGGAGAGACTGTAATAATAAAATCTTAAGGAATCAAAATTGTAAAGCTATGATAAAGTAAAAAGCTTCAGGCTGATATTTTGGGACAGTGGCTGTATGTGGCCCCTTGGAATGATAATCTGTAAGTGGCTGGAGACTTGGGGCACCACAAACTCCTAGGAAGCTTGGCAATGAGCCTGAGTAGGAAGCTAGGAGGAGGGGGTGTCTGGGGAGTGGATGAAGTCAGAAGCAATATCTTGTTCTCTTTTAGAACACTCAGGAGAGTTGTATTACATGTTCTCCAAAGTTGTACAGCTTAATTTCTGCAAAGCTGCCTGGAAATATGCAACCTGTATTTCCACAGGCTTTATCTTGATGCTTTATCTTTCTGATTGCTCTTCAGTGGATAGTAATTTCTAACATTGGAAATTTCAAAGGCTCAAAAGTAATGATATAAATGAAATGTCATATATCCACACAATAGAGTATTATTTGACCATAAAAAAAGAAATGAAATTCTCATACATGCTATAACATGAATGAACCTAGAAAATGTTACACTAACTGAAAGAAGCTAGATGCAAAAGGCCACGTATCATATGTTTGATTTGTATGAGTTGTCCAAAATAGGAAAATTATAAAGACGGAAAGCAGATCAGTGGTTGCCAGTGATTGGAGGGGGAGAAGGAAAAATGGGGAGTGACTACTGGTGGGTATGGGGCTATTTTTTGGAATGATGAAAACATTCTGGAATTAGGTAGTAGTGATGGTTATGCAACTTTGTGAGTACATGAAAAGCCACTGATTAAACTGGTGAACTTTATGGTATGTGAATTGTAGCTCAATAAAAAAAAAAAAAAACAAACAAAAAACAGTGAAACAGTGATCTATGGACAAATAGGCATAGGAAAAAAAAAAAAAAGAAGGCTGCCCTTTTAAAGAAAGCTTTGGCAAATGCTTATGTTATATGAACCACCACCACCCCCACTGCCTCTACTCCCCAGTTCTTCTGCTTTGTAGATCCGGATCTTCCCATATTGTTTTAAATCAATGCCCATGTATGAAGAAGGAGTTTTGCCCTAACCTTCAACAAGCTAATTAATCAGTCCCTGAATTCTAGGCACAAATGAGGAATTTGGGAGTTGAGAACTCACTATTCTTGGTGAGCCCAACATTCTTTAACAGAGAAAAGTGATACAAGACCCATTATTAATATAAGGAATTGGAGAGTGAAGGGAAGATCTTACCTTTCCACAGTAGAAAATATCCTCTCTCCGCACCTTTCCTTCTTTTATCTTCTCCCTGATGGCCTCCCCCACTTCGTGCTCATTCTGGTAGATGTAGGCCCCATCAATGTGCCGGTACCCTACGTCGATGGCAATCTTCACTGACTTCTCACAGGTCCCCTTAGGGGTCTGAAAAGGCAAGGTGGGGAAGAAGAGAAATGGACCTTTCCTTTAATCATTCTTCATCAGGATGCTCTGCACATAGACATTGTTTTACAACAAAAGACAAATTCTTAATTAGATGTTGTGATTGGAAGATGGTGTTTGGAGGTTGAGGACACTGACCTCACAGGAAATTTCCTTTCCACCTTCAGTGGAGGACTCCTTTCATACAAAGTCTGCCCTAGCTTTGTGGCCTCAGAAATGAAACTTGATCAGTTTTACCACTGACAAGAGATTTCATGACATCTATGTTAGAGGAAGGCACAAGTTCATTGAAGAAGGCTCCATTATAAATCGAAGTTTTGGATAAACCAAGATACATTCACAGGATGGAATATCATTCAATAGTAAAAAGAAACGAAGTACTGCTATAGCCACATGGGTGAATATAAGGGAAATTATACTAAGTGAAAGAAGCCAGATGAAAAATAAAAACATTATAATCCCATTTATATAAAATGCCAGAAAATGGAAACTAATGTATAGTGCAGATGCGGATCAATGATTACCTGGGGTGGGGGACAGGGGGTACAGGCATGGGTGGCAGGGAAGGATTATAAAAGAACACAAGGAAACTTTTGCAGTGATGGATATGTTCATCATCTTGATTATAGTGATGGCTTCATGGGTGTACATATGAGTCAAACTCATCAAAATGAATACTTTAAATAAGTACAGTTTATTGTATATCAATTATTCCTCAATTAACTGAGAAAGAAGAGTGTTGGGGGGCATGTTAGATTTTCAAGATATATTTTTATTAAATTTGGTAGCCAAATGTTTGTTCATTTTATTAACCTGCATGAAACATATGAATATCCTCTCTCCCGGACGTTGATAGAACCAAAAAACCTGACAAACTCTTGACACTGGAAGTATAAGTTATCCGTGTTTCAGATTGCATATAAATCACTGTTCTTTAATTATGATGACATTTTAAATAAACATGAGTGTGTCTCATTTTAGTTACATTTTTTTTCTTAAGGAAAAATGGAAACCTTGGTGGATATTTCCATCAAGACAAGCATCTAGTCTTGCCAAATAAAATGTTTAAATCATCTTTTAGGTTGTGTGAAGGAAGAGAGGGTTAATCTTATTTGTAGATTTTAATTGATCTCTTATTCAGATGGTGATCATTCTGATCTTGTTCACAAATGCTGAGAACTACTTGTGCTTGTTTCCGTATCTTCAGTGTTCTAACCAAATGCTTGACAAATCTCAACAGACCTGTGAATTCTGGCCCACAGAAGTCGATTTATTGAGATTGAGGGAGACAAGAAATCTCTTACATTTCTAGTGACCTTATAGTCCTGGGCTGGACATAAAAAGCACTGGAAGCATAAATTATATTTTCTTTCCCTACTTCAGTTGAAAGTCATCACTATTAGGAAAATAAGAGGATATGAAAAATGAACAAATTGGCTACACAGATGGTATTAGAAAATAAGATTCATAGTCACAAATATCAAATAGCTAGGAAAAGAGACACACATTCCAGGAATGTCAGAAATACCTCTTCTGTTTTTTTAATTGACAGCATGATTAATAGAGCTTGAATAGAAATTGAGGCCAAAAAGCTCTGCAAAACACCCTGTAAAATGAGATGTTAAGGACGACAGCAAGTGTGACAACAAAAGTATACTCGAAGAGGAGGCTTGGGGTAGAATCCGGAAATTTAAGGGAAAAGATAAAAATATACTTCCATTATCAGTATATACATAGTATTAATGAAAAGAATAAGACTTCATGTGGAATGGTAAATACAATCTCAGAAATAACACTGAAATTTTTGTGGCTGGAATTGGTAAATGTAAGTATAGAACATGAATAGATTTAATACAAGGGGAAAACCCCAAAACAATGCATATTAAAATATATGCTTATATTTTCAAAGATCAACCCAAGACAAGAGGCATAGGGGAGAACATTTAGGATAAAGAAGACGAGAAAGACAAAGATTAAGTTAGGAGCATGGTATTAACCAATAGCCTGAAGTAACATACGAATGATGCTTTATTTCATAAAGACATGGCACAGAAGCAAGTTATAGTAGTGAGAGTCTTCTATTATTCGGCAACCATGAAAGAGCCTTTTCTAAAAGCTGAATATCTGGTACAGTCTTTGCTTGCTAAAAATATTTTCCTTCAGATGGCAGAAGCAGCAATGAGGTGAATTACTATTTTGGACTTAATTCTAATCAATATGGAGGAAGTAGTTGGAAATATGGATGTGAGAAAAATGCTTCTTTATAATTCTTAAATGTAGCATAAGAGAACTGTATGTGCATTCTGATAGATTCTTTAAGAAAATTCACTTTAAGGAAAACTCAGAAAGATCAAATAGAATACCATATTCGGAGACTTAAATAAATGATATGATAGTAGAATCTTAAATGCAAAATTTTGACCCACCATTAAGGATGATATCAGTGAAATAAAGAATTCTGTTTCCTAAAATGGTCAACAGCACCCTTCCTCCACTTAAAAAAGGGGAGAGTCCTATAAGGATGCACTGCCACCTTCCAGGCTGTAACGCATACTCTAGTCAACATCCATTAGAGGGTGTTGTGTCCCCAGTAAGTATACACAAGTCTGAAAACACAATAGAAGTGGTTTAGCTTAGCATTACTCCCTTTGATTCACTTAGAAAATGAATACTTCTCACCCATGAATTTAAGGCTCTGTGGATCATAGTTCCTAGTCTTAGTTCCCAGGGGGAACCCAGGCTCCTTATTTCAGGAGTTCAGTATGTGCGGAAAGGTGTTGCCATACTGGCAGGCAGGGGTAAGTAACTATATCCCAGGAAGAGATACGCCTCCTTCACTGATACATGATAAGCCAGGGAGGAAAACACTGGGCACTTAGGCCATCCAATGATATACCCCTTCCCACTTTTGAAAGTTAATGGATAAGAGCAGCAGCCATGATCTGAGAAGGAGAAGTGGACCAGGGACTCAGACAACTTGAGAGATAAGAATTTAGGTTGTGATATTTCATAAGCCACCTAGATCAGAAGAGATGTTGGTTAAGGAGGAGAGAAATCTAGAATGGGTAGTCCAGGAGGGAGATAAGTTGCAAATTGAAGGCAGCTTTCGTCACAGGAGCTACTTCATCCTGCTAACCTACCTCTTTAAAAACTTTTCCAGGAGACAGACCAAACAAAATTCTGGAAGAGCTTTTCCCAGGGGTGAACTCAGCATACAAAGCCAGTAGGTTCAGGTGGCACCAGGGGTAAAAGGTAGTGGCTGTCGCAGTGTACCACAGGATAGAGGCAGTCATTTGCTCAGCTGCCAGCAGGGTTGGCTTCTGGTTACTCACATCTGATCCCCTCTTTGAATGATACTGGATACAACAACCAGGCTCTCTCACCTCAACTTAGCACAATCCTATAGCACCATTTCAGAGCTCCCCGTGGGACTAATGAGCAAATGGCTCACAGTGCCATTCTTTTTTTTTTTTTTTATCATTTTTTAAATTTATTTTCAATATAACAGTATTCATTGTTTTTGTACCACACCCAGTGCTCCATGTAATCCGTGCCCTCTCTAATACCCACCACCTGGTTCCCCCAACCTCCCACCCCCCACCTCTTTAAACCCTTCAGATTGTTTTTCAGAGTCCATAGTCTCTCATTGTTCACCTCCCCTTCCAATCTCCCCCAACTCCCTTCTCCTAACTCCCCATGTCCTCCATGCTATTTGTTATGTTCCATAAATAAGTGAAATCATATGATAATTGACTCTCTCTGCTTGACTTATTTCACTCAGCATTATCTCTTCCAGTCCCGTCCATGTTGCTACAAAAGTTGGGTATTCATCCTTTCTGATGGAGGCATAATACTCCATAGTGTATACTCTTCAAAGTATAGGGATAGAGGGAACATTTCTGAACTTCATCAAATCTATCTATGAAAAACCCACAGCAAATATCATCCTCAATGGGAAAAAGCTTGCAGCCTTCCCGTTGAGATCAGGAACACGACAAGGATGCCCACTCTCACCACTCTTGTTCAACATAGTATTAGAAGTCCTAGCAACAGCAATCAGACAACAAAGAGAAATAAAAGGTATCCAAATTGGCAATGAAGAAGTCAAACTCTCTCTCTTCGCAGATGACATGATTCTTTATATGGAAAACCCAAAAGACTCCACCCCCAAACTACTAGAACTCATACAGCAATTCAGTAACGTGGCAGGATACAAAGTCAATGTACAGAAATCAGTGGCTTTCTTATGCACTAACAATGAAGATACAGAAAGGGAAATTAGAGAATCGATTCCATTTACTATAGCACCAAGAACCATAAGATACCTGGGAATAAACCTAACCAAAGAGGTAAAGGATCTGTACTCGAGGAACTACAGAACACTCATGAAAGAAATTGAAGAAGACACAAAAAGATGGAAGACCATTCCATGCTCTTGGATCGGAAGAATAAACATTGTTAAAATGTCTATACTGCCTAGAGCAATCTATACTTTTAATGCCATTCCAATCAAAATTCCACTGGTATTCTTCAAAGAGCTGGAGCAAATAATCCAAAAATTTGTATGGAACCAGAAGAGACCCCGAATCGCTAAGGAAATGTTGAAAAACAAAAATAAAACTGGGGGCATCACGTTACCTGATTTCAAGGTTTGCTACAAAGCTGTGATCACCAAGACAGCATGGTACTGGCATAAAAACAGACACATAGACCAGTGGAACAGAGTAGGGAGCCCAGATATGGACCCTCAACTCTATGGTCAAATAATCTTCGACAAAACAGGAAAAAATATCCAGTGGAAAAAAGACAGTCTCTTCAATAAATGGTGCTGGGAAAACTGGGCAGTTATATGTAGAAGAATGAAACTTGACCATTCTCTTACACTGTACACAAAGATAAACTCAAAATGGATAAAAGACCTCAATGTGAGACAGGAATCCATCAGAATCCTAGAGGAGAACATAGGCAGTAATCTCTTCGAT